AGCGATTACTAAAGTTAAGGAAAATGAAACTCCAATTTTCAACACCCAAATGTCTCTACTTTTTAAATTTGTAAAGTATTTTTGTTTAGGTATTACTGTTTTTAACCTGTCCTGTCATTTGGATATAGTGGGAAGCCTATTGAATGGGACAAAGTATTGATTATTGAATGGGACTTGTCCAAACAGCCTGATATGAAAAAAGTAGAAAAATATATTTCGGCAACTTAGTTATGGTCACACATAATTTTATTTTTAATAAAATTTTTTGTTTTACTAAAAACAATTATTCGTGTTTTTAATTTAATTTTAATATACATATATTTTTTAATAAAACTATTTTAGGTTTGTCAATATATGCAGACATTCGGCCATATTTATAGCTTTTTCGGGTTCCCTAATGGTAGAAACTACCCTTACTGCTTGACTGGCTTGAAAGTTACTTAGGACCTCTCTTCTTTTATTAATTTTTTAGATTTGTCCCATTCAATAATTTTATTTGTCCCATTCAATGAGTAGTTCTTAATGAATGGGACAAATGCGATGGTCTTATTAAACTCTCTTTTTACCAATACCCATATGCGGAATCAATTTTTTTGTTTTTGTTTATCATAGTACGAGAGTTAACAGTTATCAAACTATTTTCAAAGTGATTTTTAAACAAATTTATCAATCTCAAAAAATGCATTTTACGAAAACTGTCCCATTCATTAAGGTTCTCCCCTACTTACCAGTTTCACTATTTTTTCATTATTAGTTGTATATTATAATCCTGATTCAATCAACTACAACTAAATGCGTCTAATGTGGATTTTTTAAATGAAATAAATTGATTTAAAAAAATGTCTCTAGACATAAATTGTCACGCTCATTCACTGAGAACTGATATTGATGATGCGTCAAAAGCTACAAGGAAGAGGAGACAATTTTATTTGCTAGGGTTCCCTTTACAGAGTTTTGCCCCTAATAGACTTCCAATAAATGGAGAAATGCTCAGAAGGTATTACTGGCTTAAAATCGAAAAAAGCAATAGGTAAATCTGAAATTAAATAACAAAAGCATTACATTTTTTACAAGTTTAGTGTTAAATTTTCAATGTTTTTTTTTAATCTTTAGCACCACACAGATCAACATCAAAATTGGTTGTCCAGTTACTTCCGGGAAGACGTATTAAAGATGCTTCAGGTTTGCCAATGGAGTGTGCAGAGAGAACACCAAGCAGATAATTACTGGTGTCTGTATTCTGAGAGAGCTTGTCAATTTATAGGAGCAGACTGGGTTTAACGATGTTTTCATTGTGACGGAGCAAACTATCAAGCCCAGAATCAACAAGAAAGTTAAGGAATACCATACTTTAAAAATGCTAAAAACACTAGAACTACCAGGGGGTAGCTACAAAAATAAAGCTAAATTTTTATGAATAAGAGCAGTGCTCTTCTCTCTATTAATAAAACAAACATATTTTGTTTAATATAATAATAGGGATTAGATAATAATAGGGATGATGAGGCTAAGAAGGAAGACATAAAATTCTTGAGGCTTTGTCTGAAAGGGGATATAGTCAAATTCAGGAACATGGACAATAAATTTTGTGAAAATGCTCACTGGGCACAAGAAAAAATAATTAAGATGTCTGAGAAAATCCAAAGAAATTAAGATAAATAGAAGAAAAAGGAGAGTAGCTATTCGGACGGTGACTTTTCAAGCACAGATAGTGACAATCAAACTGAGTGCAAAGAACTATATTTACCTCCAGCTAAAGTCCGGAAAAAGCAGAAAATGTTTCAGAATGACATCAAAGTTTGCCTTCAGTAAAGTATGGAAGATATTCTTAACAATTGGATTTCAATTATGACCAGATTTGGGATTGGAGTCAGGCCGGGTATGTATCTTTTGTCTTCTTTTTACAAGGCTTGTATAGTTAATATTGATAATACTTTGATATCAAGATCAGCTCTAAATAGGAAAACTCATAATGTTGTGGAGTCTGAGACACAGATAATTAGAGAAGAAAACATAGATAAAGCAAGAGGTTTAAAAATTGTGGTACATTTTGGTATTAAGATTTTGAAGAAATAGGATTGGAAAAAGGAATATCTAGATATGAGGTTAGAATTGCAATTAGCGCATCTTCGCCAGAGTCTGGCCAACTAGACTTTCTTCTTGACATTTTAAAAATTGAAAGCTCCAAGGGAAGTGATCAAGCTATTGCGATTCAAACAATGCTTGAATACAATAAAATGTCGGATCAGATAATCGGATTGTGTTGTGACACAACATCCAGCAACACTGGTAAAAATAAAGGTGCTGTTAGCATTATTATTTCCTATGCCCTTAAAAAACCGATTCTCTGGTTAATGTGCAGACATTACATTTATGAAAGATCCGATAAGTGGTCCCAGCTAGAAATTTTATGTAACTCTCCAAAAACTATGGCTGTAGATTTATGAAGATGTAAGCAAACTTTAGAGAATCATAAAGTTTAATTGGTCTCAAGACGCTTTCAGGCTTTGAATACTAAAGAGTTTTGTATCACAGCTCTTCATAAGAATACTTTCCAGAGAGGTGATTATAAATATCTTTGTGAGCTTCTGGCATTTTTTCTAGGAGCTGAGTTATCGAACTTTTCATTTAAACAGCCTGAAGCTCATTATGAAGCAAGATTTATGTATATATTTACTTGTTATTCAGATGACTCAAATGTACCACACTGCTGATTCCGAGACAGCTGGAAAAAATACAATAAACCATCTGAAAGTTGCAACCAACTACATTGTAGTTTTTCATGGACTCTTATTTCTAAAAAGTCCTAATGCTTCTCAAGTACCTTCAAATAATTTAATGGCGTTCGATATTGCTTTTAAGCTACAAACAGTAGAAGAGTTTAAAGAATTTGAAAAATTTTAAATAAAGAATTTAAAAAATTTTGTTTTTCTTGAAAACTATTTTTGCTCGTTTTTTTCGGACCATTCGTAAGAAACTAAAAAATTAAAGACCTCAATTTTTTACGGAATTTTCGATTCGCGATCACTTAATTTGCTCCTTGCAATATTATTTTTGGATGTTTGAAAAAAGTGATTTTTTGATGTTTGAGAAAATGATTAACACCCGCAAATTGATGGGGGGGGGGGGGGGAAGATAGTTCAAATTTTTTTTTGTTCATATTTTTTGAACGTTAAAAAATTTTTGTGTCGATATGAAATTTGATCGATGTATCTAGATTTAGTTAAGAATAGTAAAAAAAATAATGCATAAACTTGGTGCTCTTACGTTTGGGGCAGTTGTAGCCAAAATTTTATGGCTTTTTGTTCCCAGGCTCCAATCATTGCAATTTTTTGCAAAACATCCTTATTTGACAAAAGTATAAACATATATTATGGAGTTTGTTTTATGTCTGGAAGTTAACCTTAAAAGTTAAAAAAATACTGTATCTGCGCATGCGCCTGCATTCTTGAAATTAATGGCTGTTCATTTTGTTGCATTTAAAACAAATTTCTCCTTAAAATGGATGATTTATTTTGTAAAAAAAATCCACTTTAAGATTTTACGACTAGCATATTTGTTTTGTTTAACACGCACCAATTTTTTTGTTTGTTTAGGTAACAATTGTAATAGGAATAATATGAATAAAGTAACTTTGAAGTCAAATTTTACTTGATAAAATAAAAGTAAATTCACCAAAAAACCTTTCGCTTTACTAGAGACTTCATTTTTTTTAAATTGGTATATATGGAAAAAATGATGCAAAATGCAGTATTCCGCATATCGAAATTGAATTTATGATATATTTTCGAGACACCCTATTGCTCATTTTTGCGATAAAATGCGATTTTTGTCCACCGGGAGTGGACAAAAATGCCATATTTTCTCAACACTTTTTCACAACACAATTTTAAAAAAAATAAATGAGTTGACACGGTTTCATAGAAAACATTATGCGTCGGGAGTTGGGCACGTGTTTCCAAATATTGTCAAATCTTTCACTATTTTTTTTACACACATTTCAAACTCCAATTTACCTTTTCGTTTATAAAAACGAATTAATAGACACCAAAAAAAAAATGAATGCACTCTAGTAATTAACACAGCTGCTTGCAAATGTTAAATCAAGTTTATTTTTATATTCAAACGCATAATTCAAAAACATATAACAACGCAGAGATAAACTAAAAAAGTTACTTCATATTTTATATCAAACAATATCGATGATAAATATAAAGCTTGCTCCAGCTTAGAAAAAAGTGTAAAAGTTATTTAACCTGTAGTTTCACAGTAGCTTATAATATATTCGATTTTTGCTGTAGTAAAGTAATTTCAATATTATGTTTATTATAATAGTTTCTTTGAATAATTAGTTGTATAAAGTACTTCTTTTATTTTTACTTTTATATTATCATTGGTTTTAAGAAGTTTCTATAATATAGATATTACAAGTAAAAATTAACTAAATAATTCTAATGATAATTTTCAATTATTATTTTATAATTTATAATATAATAATAATTATAACAATAGTGATTTTTATTGTTATTCTTAATAAAACTACTAAAAATAATTGGTTCAACAACCTCAAATCCCGTGTAAATCTCTTATGCTCTCTTCCCCCTTCCACCTACTAAATAGTTTGTTAGTCTCAGCATTTTTTGAGTTTCTAGATACAAAAGTACAGATATAAATTTTGTGCAGAAGTTATATTGCATTTGTAACTTTTATAACATGAATCTTTTTTGGGGGTAATTGTTGATCACAAAATAAAGTGGCATGGTAACCAAAAATAAAATAATATGATCCATTTTAAATGATTTAAAGCTTATTTTTAAATCCACATTCCATTATTTTAAATCACCAGATTTAAGGTTATTCAGTTTTTTTAGTTTATTTATTATGAACTGGTAGGTATATTCCTTTTTATAATATTGTAAAGTACATCCCAATTTTTAATATAATAAGACAAGCCAAAAAGTAAAATTATCTTTATGCTTTTCTATAAGAAAACAATTTTTTTTTTTTAGATCTAATCAATTTGTTAGCAAGATTTAAAAAAATACTAAAATGGATGTTTATGAAAATCTTAAACTCGATGAAGCTGAAATTAATGAACTTGCAGACACAGCTAAAGATTGGGTTACTCTTCATGGAATGATCATGCGAAATAATAATGACAGAAAATTGCTTAACTATGCCCCGTTTATGTTGTTTCCTTCACCATTTCCTCGGTATCTTTATGAAGAAGCTTTTTCTGTACAAGCTGATCTGCAAGAGTTGGTTTACAAAGCAAGTTGTGATCATGAATTTATTTATAATGCTTTAAAAAGGTATATAGTCTGTTTCTATATAAATGTGTTTAATGATGTATTTGTAAATATAAGCTTAAAAATTTTTTTGGTCTCAACATGAGACCAAAAACAACATAAGACTAAAATTTTTTTTTCATATTTTTTTGGTATCAACCTTTCCCATTATCAATTATTGTAAAATTTTTTAGCATCCCCTCCTCTTCTACATTATTTATGGAGGGCTTTGTATATTACTTTTATATTAAAACAGTGCATGTAATTTTAGGCATGCAGTGTCTTATTATATGATTTATATTTTGCACACTTTAAGTTTAAAATGCTTTAAAACTTTAAGACAGTTCTTCAGGAAAAAAAGGAAAAAGGAAATGTAATAAATAGTTGAATCATTATTTTAATTTTGCTGAATTCAAAGTATTTCATAACTAAATAGTGCGAGCCCAAATCTTAAGTTGATATATAATCTGAAGCGTCTGCAAATGGCTATTTTAGTATCAGTATATTTTATGGTCTTGAAAAATGTTTGTGGGTAGCTGAGGTTCTTTAGTCATAAGGAAGGCAACTCACCTAGAAGTGAACTCTAAAACTAAAAAAAAACACTGCAATAATAAAACAAAAATATTTAACTGTCAGAATTTCTTTAAATTCTCAGCAGCTTACTTCCTAATGATGATTTAAAAAATTATTTTATTATTTCTTATACAGTGTCATTGTGCATGATGAATTTACCAGGAAACAGTTTGAAATCTATGATCAAGTCAGAAAAGAAGGAATTAAACAGGTATTAAATTTAGTTGTAAAATGTTATTTATAAAGTAGTTAAGAACATTAATAATTTTTTCTCAAAAAATAATTTGACGTTTGGTACAATAGTAATGTTCTCAGAAGTCGTACTCCTCTGCTCCTCAACGAACTCCTCCGCTGAACTCTTCAATGAAGTGATTTTTATTCTTCTGCAGCTAAAGTAACAATAAATTCTTATGATAAAGATTTAATGGACAAAAATTTTTAAATATTGTAACAATTTAAGTATACAGAAATCAACCTTAATGAGAACTCTTTTCTTAATATTTATAGAAAAATGATTGATTTTTTCGTCATTCTTTTTTATTATTATTATTATTATTATTATTCTTACTTCTCTGCCTAAATATTTTTTTTGGTACATCACTAACTTGCAATTGAAACAACATTCCAATCTTCCAACGGTCTTTTCCAAAGCTTCTAAAGCTTCTTGTCTTGCAAAGCTTTTTGTCTTGCAAAGCTTCTTTACTCTTAAAACATTAAAGCTCATCTTAATTTTTTTTTTTTTTAAGTTTTATGCTTGAATCTTGTTTTGTTATAACTTTCTAGTAACTTTTCATTTAAATAGCAATTACGTAGAGTCTATTTAAAAATAAATATATTTGAAAGCAAATGTTTAAAAAATTTAGTTGCTCATTTTTGCAATAAAATTTGATTCTATCACAAAATATTTTCTTGTTATTTTATAAAAAAGTAAAACAATAGACAATAAACCTATTAAAACCTGGTTTTTTGGTACTTTTCTGTAGGCAACAAATTTTAGTTTTCAAGAATTTTTTCTATAAAGAAATTTTCTGTCGTATCAGTAGAAATCGATATTTTGAAAACTTATTTTTTTGCAACGAATTTAAAATAATTTGTGCAAGTAATATGTTACATAGTAACAGTTTATCAGTTAATCAACAGTAGCTGTTAAGCAGGTAATAATAATTATTTACTAAATTTTATATAAAATTTAAATTAAGCTACATTTGTTTGCACAAAAGCATTTTGATGCAAACAATCTTTAGTTATAAAATTTATGTTAACAGCTGAATTTGAAAGAATTGTTGCAGGTTGTACAACCTGTTGCCTACTGTTGTTTTTTTTCTTCAAACAAGTTTGTAATTTTTAAATAATCATAGCTTATAAATGACATAAAACTTTTGCTTCAAATTTTTAGGGTTTGTTCTACATATTATGATAAAGGCCATGAATTAAAACTTATGTGGAAAACAAAGTATTGCATGAGCTGTTAAGTTTTTTTTTGTTTTGTTTTATCTGCTGACCCTCTAATTTTTAATGTTTTTCTGAAAAAATCAAAAATTACAAATTTTATCACAAGTTTTGGCATTAGTTTTAGTTGAGGCCCTTCATTTTAAGCATATAAAATGTTTTACTAATTATGAAGTTCTTCTAGTGGTTTTTAAGTTATTGTTTTTCAAAATTAGGTTCAATATGACGCATTTTACAATCTTTTTACCATATTTTTTCATTTTTTGGAAAAAATTGTTGCAAAATAAAACTTTTTTTCAAGAAAACCTTGTTCATCTTATCTGATGTACAATTTAATAAAAAAATGTCTTAATGATAAATTCACTCTCTAATAGATTTTACTGTAACTAAAAAACCTTTCATCAAGAATAAATGTTTGGAATTTTTTTTTGTTTTGTTTTGGATTCAGAAGAAAAAAGATTCTTTAGTAACAAAGTAAAAGTATTTTTTTTTTTGCATATTTTTCTAAAGTCAACTTTAATACAAAATATTATTATGTTTTAAAAATATAGACTGCATGTTTTTGAGTTATATCTGAATCAAAGATTAAGATACCAATGTATTATAAATGTAATTTGGTATTGTGAGAGCTCATAAACCAAATTCAAGTAAAAATAATTTCAAAACTATCTTGTTTTAAGTTTACTTTTGGTCCTGATAATGAATTTTTTTTTTTAGGTTGAGCTAATAAATGAAATAAAATCGAAAAAATTCAAAATTTATCTGATGAAACCGATCGTTTAATTAAAAAATAAGAATAGGTCTTTTTTAAATTGGGTTAAAAATAGTTAAACTTCCTTTTATGAGCCATGTTCAAAAGAATTCAAATTTCACAACAAGCTACTAGAGCTTCTTCTTATACAAAAATTATTTAAAATTAATTAAGAAACATTTTTGTAGTTGTCAATAAACAATATAATGTTTAGTATAATTTATAAAACTGGTCACTGTAGCAATCAACGTGCTTTAAAACTCACTGTTAACAATAAATAAGTTTATTATAGAGTGAACAATTGCTGTAATGATAGTGATTTTACACCACAAAGTATACAAAATGAAAATAAAACTTTAGATCTGATTGGCATTTAAGTTGCCCAACTGGCATCAAATATTTCAGTTTTGATTTTGTTTGGATAGAGAATGATTTGATTTGTTGAAAGATTCAAGATCAGCTACCTGTTCTATGTAATCAAGGTCAGCTACTTGTAATCAAAAAGAGATGATACATTGTCAAGACTGGAGTGTAAAGTTGTGTCATCAGAAAATAAAGTTGCCTAGGCAAGATTATCAGGAAGATACTGCTGAGGAACAACAGAGGATTAAGGGTGGAACTTTATAGTAACCCAGAAGTTGCTAGAAACAAGGGGAGTTTAGTCCATCAAGGAATAAGGGGAGTTTAGTCCATCAACTCTAATGCTGCAGTTAAAATGAATAATTCAGTAGTCCCAAAAACTTTTCCAGATAATAGACCATATGAAGCAAGCTTATTTATTTATTATTAAGCAAGAACATTAGCATGCCTGACTTTATCAAAAGTTTTTGATATGTCAAGAGTCCAACAGCCCTAATCTAATGCACGATAAAATCTTTCTGCTGTAACAGTAACAAGTCAGCTGAAGAACGATAAAATCTTTCTGCTGTAACAGTAACAAGTCAGCTGAAGAACGATAAAATCTTTCTGCTGTAACCTAGTAACAAGTCAGCTGAAGAACGAGTGGATCAAAATCTGTATTGATTGTCAGAAAGTAAATATTTTTGACTTAAGATAAGATATTAGATATTGGTTGATTAAATACTCAAAGAATAAAAGAGAAAAGTTTTGGTTAGAGGGGTCAGAGTGTTCTCCGGAGTTTTTAAAAACTAGAAGCACACATGCCATTTTCAGAAAATAAGAATATTAATTTCTTGTTAAAAGCTTTTTTAAAAATTTTAGAGAGGATTAAAGAGAGTTCTGGAAAACACTTTTGTAAGAAAAACACTGTTTCAAATAGAACACTTTGTAAGACTGTTAAAGGAATGTTGTTTGTACTACAAGCTGTAGAAGAATTTAGGTAAGAAGTAACTTTACCAACAGAGACAGAAGTGATTGGACAGTGTGTTAACTTCTTAGTTGTGGTTCAGTGTGTGCTACTTAGGATAGCAGGAGGAGTGTAGTCAGTAGATTAAAGAGATGAGATGAAAATGTAAAAGTTTTTTGCAAAAAAGTTCAGCCTTATCTTAGCCAGAGGTGATAAAATCAGACTTGTATGAGAGAGTGTTAGACTTGTCATTGTTAATTACATTGTTAAAGATTCTTATTAAGTATCTGGAACTTCTAAGATAAAATATGAAATTTAGTAACCTGAGATGGAGTTGTTATTATGGAAATGACGACAGAAACAGTTAGAAAAGTTAGTAATAGATGGAAAAACTATAAGGTAGAGTGAGGCTTGACATGGAACTGACAAGGAGACAAAAAACATTAGCTAAATATATTTTATATATTTAACTGAAGTTAAATATATTTAGTTAACTAAATATATTTCAAATTCAATCTGTAAATTTAGAAGCCCTCAAAAATTTTAGAGGATTTTAGTCATTTTAAGGCTCTGGCCCAACAAGTCTTAATCCGCCACTGATTTTACCATGGAACTATTTAGTAAATAAAAATAACATGACTGAAAATTTTTAGTTTTACTTACTATTATATAAAAAGTTTTATATATAAAAAAGTATAAAATAACATTTTTTATATATAAAACTTTTTTATATAATATTACTGTCATATAAAAAAGTATATAATAAAGTAACGTTTTTTATATATAAAACTTTTTTATATAATATTACTATCATATAAAAAAGTTTAATATATAAAAAAGGTTATTATATCAAAATGATAAAATATTTCAATTTAATTAATTGGAAAGCATTATTTGGGGATAGAGATATCAATGAATATTATGATAAATTTTTAGAAGTAAATATGTTGGCCTGTGATTAGTTTATTCCACGATCAAAACAATATGGACAACTGCGATAAACATGGATTACATCTGATATAAAGAAATTAATGAAAAAAAGACAATTATTGTCTTTTTTTCAATTTAAAGTCAAAAGGTCAAAGTTCATTGCGTCAGGTAGAAATGATCACGAATTATAACAAAATGTCATATTCAAATTGTTTTCTGAAAAATTTCCTTTTTTACCTTTCTTTCCAAAACTCCCTGCATTATAAAAGCAATGCAATCTAAAATCAACGCAATACAAAAGTAACGCAATATAAAAGCAACGCAATAAAAAGTAATACAATATAAAATTAACACAATATAAAGCAATTTAAATATGACTTAGATAAAAGTTCCAAATCTAATCCTAAGATATTTTATGCATATGTAAATAGCAAACAAAAGTATAAAGAAGGAATTTGTACTCCAAGGTTTCCAAATGGTACAGTAAGTGATAACCTTCTAGGTATTTCTAATTTGTTGAACGCCTTTAATCTGTATTTACTCAAGACAATAACAAAACCTTGCAGTAATTTGATGCTGTTACTCAAGTTTACTGTAAAAATGATATAAATAACATATTTAGCTTAAAAGAAATTATTTTACAAATTTTACAAAAAAAATTATTGCATAAACACAAAGTTTTGAACACCTGCTCTAAAAATTTGAGCATTCCTATTAAACATATTTTGAAGTTGTCCCTTAACATTTTTAAACACTGATATAGTTAAATTGTTATACATTTGGCCTCATCTTGAATATGCATTTTCTATTTGAAATATATTTTTAAAGAAAATGATATTATTCTTATCGAAAGAATTCAACATAAAGTAAAAAAATAAATTCCAGGCTATTCAGAGCTGGTTAATGAGTAAGAAAAAAATTCCAGACTATTCAGAGCTGGTTTATTAGTAAGAAAACAAATTCCAACTATTCAGAGCTGGTTTACGAGGAAGAAAACAAATTCCAGACTATTCAGAGCTGGTTTACGAGGAAGAAAACAAATTCCAGACTATTCAGAGCTGGTTTATGAGTAAGAAAACTAATTCCAGACTATTCAAAGCTGGTTTATGAGTAAGAAAACAAATTCCAGGCTATTCAGAACTGGTTTATGAGGAAAAAATAAAGACTGAACCTAATATTTAAAAAAGATAAAGTCTCTTCTTTCTCCTTATTCATAAGGAGAAAGAAGAGACTTTATCTTTTTTAAATGTGATAATAATTTTTTAACAGCTTAATATGGTATCTTCCTTTAGGAACTTTTTTCGACCTACATGACCAGCTGGAAGTGTCTGTAAATATTTTCAAGAACAGTAGACAATTAGAATGTCAAACTTATCAGACCAATGTTGAACTTGAAAAAATTACTTGATGAACTTTATTATGAGACTTAAATATTTTAAACTTAAATATTTTAAATTGTAGTTATTAAACTAGCTGCTAAAGTGATTTATAAATTTAGAAATATGTCTTCAATATTCAAAATTTAGAATTATGTCTTTAACATAAATTTAGAAATATGTCTTCAATATAAATTTATAAAAATTTTCAATGTAACTTGGTCTGTTTAGAAATATGTCTTCAATATAACTCGGTCTGACTATATGATAAATGAGCTAAAGAACCCTGAAGAAAATGAGCGTCTTTATAATATAAAACAGATTGAGATGAACATGATTGCTGCTTCGTTTGGTGGTCTTGGTTCTTTTGTAGAAAAATTACACAGGTATTTCATTGTTTTATGAGTAATTTGTTATCATGGTATATGAGTACAATTTATCATGATATATTATGATACATAATGATATACTATGATACCATCATAATATATCATGGTGATAGTTTAATGCATTTGTTTACCGTTTATATATTATTGCAATGATTACATGTTTATAGGTATATGTGTGATGTTATGGGTGAGAGTGCTCCATTCAAAAAAGATCAGGTACATATTTTTTATATATTATTTTAGTATATATGTTGCATTAGTAACTAATTATATTATTTATGTTTATATTTATATTTATTTATAATAACTAATAATATATTATAAGAATATATATTATATTTTTGACACTAGTTTTAATAATATTATCTTAATACTTTTTTTATTTCTTCTATTTTTATTAATATTTCTATTACTATTATTATTAATAATAATACTTTTATTATTTATTTTTTTATTATTTACTAAATCCTGGTTATGCAAACTATTTTGATTTCAATGTTTTTATGGCAATTTTGATTATTTAAATTTTTTAAAAGGTTGCAACCAATTCTGCTATAATAAATCTTGGAAAAGGAATGGCAAAGCTATGGAAGATCTATGACAAAGAAGAGTATGTTTGAATCTTATAAATTTTAAAATAATATTGCATTTGTACATCTACAAATATATTGTTTCTATTATAAACTAATTACAATGATTGTGTTATACTAATATAGTATACTAATATAGCATCATAACACTTGTATTAATATATGTAAAATATTATACATAAATATTGATACAAAACAATCTTATATTTACGTTGTATTTTCTATTTATTATTCTAGTAGTTCTAAACTAATTGTAAAAGAAGTGTTTAGAAAGGTCTTTTTTTAAAAGGATATTCTTTCATTCCCAGTTCAATTCATAATATAAGAGCTTTTTCCAGATTTGCTCTCATTTAAAAACAAATTTGCTTCAAGCTCCTTTTTAAATAAGGAGAGCTGGCCTCTTACCACCTGCACCTTACTTACCTTACCACCTTACCACCTGCATCTTGCTTACCTTACCACCTTACCACCTGCACCTTACTTACCTTACCACCTGCACCTTACTTACCTACTTATGCACCTTAAGATTATTTAAGTAAGCTTTTTTTTTTGCTTGCAAAAAATTTCATAAACATTAATGACAAAGCAAATTTATTATTAAGCTTAGAGTGAGACTTTTAACTTGTTTCATTGATTTTTTTTTAAACAGTCTTTTAATATTCCTGGTGTTCTGCTGGTCACTTATATACCTTTGCTTTATACACCTTAATTAATTAATAAGTTATTTAATTAATTTCATCACCTATCACCTTTAAGTATATTAATTTCAGTTTTTTAGTAATTTTATTAAGTTGCTATCCACTGGTAACTAAGTTTCTAACACTGATTGTTATCCACTTGTTGCTATCCACTGGTAAATGATGTCTGTAATTGCATCTGTAATTGTTTTACGTGAAGAAGATTTAATTTCATACTGAGTAACTTTTATCCATATTAACAAAGATTCAAACTAGGTTTCTGCTGTAAAACATTTGACACCAACCTAATAATTTAAAACTTAGTAACAGACATCTTTTTTTTGTTGTTGTTTTGTTGCAAAATAGTTAATTCTTTATAAAATCATAAAATTTTGGGAATAAATACCCATGATTCCATGAACATCAATTTTTCTTCTTATTAAAAGTTCAAAGATTGGGCAAGCAGAGTCATTACTTCATAATATTCATAATATATAATTTCTTGAATTGAATTATTTAATTTGTGAATCTTTGTATTTTACAGAAATCCATCTTTAATTTGGTTATGTTTATAAATGTCTGAAAAAATATTTTTAGCTGTAATAATAATAACTTTATAAGCTATTATCATCATATATATAAGCTATCAATAATAACTTTTTGACATTTTGTTTATTCATTTTGATAAACACATTTGCTTTTCTATGAAGTTTCTTAATATTTCTATAAAGTTTCTTAATATATTTTATAATATTTCCTAATATTAGTTTTTGAAATCTCTAACATTTTCTCAACATCTTGTTTAGGTTCACTTTATATGATTAGCGTTTAAAATGTTGTGTAACTATGGTAACTGAACAAATAACTTGCTCTTTTACTATTTTTATAAAAAAATAAATTTGAATACATTTATAAATTGTATACAAATTGTGATTTCACTCTATAATAAGACTGTACAAGTACTATTTAATTTTGAAAACATGCTGTTAAGATAGTTTGAAACCACAGCTGTTAAGATAGTTTGAAAATTTGATACATCTTAACTAGTTAAGTCATTGATTATACACTTTTGTAGTTTGAATAGATTTCCATTTCCTTATTTAAATCTGATATTACAGAAAAGCTAAAGCAATTTTTTACAGGATAAACAAAAAAACAGTTTCATGTTTTAAGTAATTTTTTTTATGTTTTAAGTTGCTACAATAACAGAGGTACAAATTTTGTTTCATTTTTCATAAAAATAGTAAAAGAGCAAGTTGTTTGTTCAGTTACCATAGTTACTTGTTTTTATAGATTGTATAAATCTTATATAAAGCAGAAACACTTTATTTGACCACATGTACTAATTTTTAAATTGTATCCAAACACAAAATTTTAAACTGTATTTAAATACAATATTTAATTATTTTTTTGTTTGCCTTTCTCAATAAAAAAAATTTGTTTACTTTCCTCATTCCATTAATTTAAAAGGAATTGATTCCAAGCTTAGTTCCTCAAAAAATATAAATCTGAAATCTGTTTAGTTTGGATTGCATTTTTTTACACACTAATAAAAAAGTATATACATAATTTTTTAGTTCATTAAATAATTAACATGTAGTGTGTATCATTATGTATAAAATGTTATAAATATGTATAAGATGTTATAAATATGTATAAAATGTTGGTAAAGTTATTTAATTAAGTATTTTGAGAAATGAGATCATGAAATATATGCAATGGTTAGCAATCCTATTGTTAATAATCAATTGTGAATTTTATAAAAATATGTAATTACTTATTAATAATTAGTTTTTTAATTTCTCACTTTCTAGTCTAGAAAGTTTTTATTTATATTAAGTTTCTAGACTAGAAAGTAAAGTTTTCAATTTCTATAAAGTTAAGCTTTAATTTTTAGAATTCTTGTTTTTTACTTTTAGCTCAGTTGTGATTTTTGTTGTTCAAAATGGCGAAAGAAATCGATTTGATCAAAGACTTTTAGAGTACAATTTTCAAGAAAGGTAACATATAATGAATAATAGATAAGATAACTATAATAAATTATCACTATAATAAATTATCAACTAAATTCCTTCATCTCAAATCTAATGTTCTTTTTATTTTGCTTTGAAATGTAATAGTTACCCTCATGTATAGTTTAATGTTTCTGTTACCAGTAGTTACCCTCATGTATAGTTTATTGTTTCTGTTACCAGTAGTTACCCTCATGTATAGTTTAATGTTTCTGCTATATTGGCCTTGTTTAAAATTTAATTTTGATATCTTTTTTTAAATATATATACAAAGTACATCAACATGAGCTAGAAATCTTACAATGCAGCATACATATTTTAACATTTTCTCTGATCACATTATAAAAGTTGTTTCTAGTTTATAAAAAAAAAAGGTTCTTGATGAACAAAACTCTTCAGTTCTAATAAACTCATTAGTTTTCTGTGGTCTCAACCTAGTTTCCGTATTGTTTCTTATTTGCTCTGTCTGAGAGCATTAGTTCTCAACCTAATTTCCATATTGTTTCTTATTTGCTCTGTCTGAGAGCATTCTTTAAATAGGCTTAGTTTGCTGATGACACAATTAGATAATCTTGAGATTTTTTAATTTAAGATTTTATTTAAACTTTAAATTAAATTTTTTTTTATTAAATTCAAGCTGTTAACTTTAAGCATTTTTAAACTGATGTACTTAAGCTTTTTATAGCTTGACATTGGAATAATTATTTCTTGAATGACAACATATTTATTATTTTTTTTTTTTTATGCTGATAAAAAGTTTTATTTTTATGTTTGAATCTAAGAAAGTTTTATCCTTGTATGAAATATCTGCCATAGATAGTCTGGCTCCTCTTATCATGTACTTTTTTTAAACATAAAATTATGTTAAAAATAATGTTCCAATGAGGGCATTGTCGATATCTTTGACCATATAAACTGATAGACATGCCGTAAGTTAAATATTTTGAAGCCAACATCTTTTAGCACATGACGTCACGTTTGGGAAAAACAATACGCGATACAAACGAAATACAGCTTTAAGAATAGAAAACTTTTTGTTAAATGTAAAATTTTGTAGTAAACATTATTATTATTATTTTTATTTTTTTGTTTTTTTTATTTTTAAATATTATTAAATTTATTATTTGTATCAATTATTATTTTAATGCATTTTTAGATTTCGTTTAATGCATTTTAGATTTCGAAGCGTTACAGTTAATAAAATTTTATGTGTTTTATTATCCATTACATTAATATACAAAACAACTTTTTATTAATTTAAAGATAAAATTCGTTTTGTTAATACAATTTGTAAATGTTTATTATGTAGTAAATTGTTAATCAAGTTAGTTTTGTGGTGCAATCTTATCTTTAAGTATTTAACAATATTAATTTTATAATTTCTGCGCCAATTTCATAAATAAATTGCAGACAACGCTAAACAATATTAGTTTTTTCACAAACACCTACACAATCAATTAAAAAACATATAACAATAAAATACAGCAGGAAGTTTCCAATGTCCATATACACAGTTTACTGTAAAAACTAAAGCTTCTTTTGTTTTGGGTTAACTATCTATAATAATTATTGATATCAGCACAAAAATCAATATAACCAGAAAATTTATGGCTTGTCCATTCAATTTTTTTTCAAATGGCCATTTCATCTAACATAAATGAACACACAACACATTGACCAATTTTCTGAGCCTCTTTTACTTTGCTATGAAGAGTAACTAAAGCTTCTTTACAAAATCCAGGGGAACAGTCAACACTTTCATACCATTTTTGTATAACTTCTGGATAAAGAAGTGCATTATTAAATGTTTTCCTAACATAACTATATGCTTTAGCAGAATAAAAATTTAATGTTAAAGCAAGGTTGTTAACCAGGCCAAAAGTAGCAAGGCTAAGGGCAAGGCCAAGGCCACATGTTACAAGGCTAAGGCCAAGACTAATGCCAAAAATTACAAGTTCAAGGCCAGAATAAGAGTTTCAAGGCCAAGGCCTACAAAGCCCAAAGACTTGAATTTTTGCCTAACATTAAGGCCAATTATTAACAAAACTGTAGGTAACAATTGCTGTGACAATAAACCACAAAATAAACCAGGGTTATGCACAAAATTCTACGAAATCAATAAGAAAATATACTTGGAGATATGTATGAAGCCGAAAACAAAAATACATAAAAGTAAAAAATGAAATCTTTTAATTCTTCAATTTTATATACTTTTTTTGAAGGCTTTAATATTCGGCCTTAAGGCAAGGTCAAGGCCATGGACTAACAACTCAGTTTTAAAGCTAAGCTTCATAATTCTGGTGGGTAATGCTTTTTAACTTTTCTTGTAAAACCTGAAAAAATAACTGTTTTGTAGATTCAGACATAGCTCCCTAAAATTAAATAGATTAAATAAATACATTTTTAGTTACAACATCATTACTTGAAAACCCAATCAAGTAAAATAAGGCATCATTGATTAGGGTATATATACATCATCATTGATTAGGGTATATATATATATATATATATATATATATATATATATATATATATATATATATATATATATATATATATATATATATATATATATATATATATATATATATATATATATAAATGTTTATCACAAAGTTTCGACAGTTTTTCTACTCAATTTCAGATCTTTCAGAAAACTACCAACGAAAATAGGCATATTAAAATAATATGCTATTTATATTTGAAATATAAGGTAGGATCTTAGCAAAGAATGATTTGTAGCTACTTACACATGAAAAGAAACCCCTTTAGTATATCTTTGAGTGCAATTATACGCATAAGAAGATGAAATCATGATCTTTATATACTTATATTCTATTTAAAAATCAAAATTTAAACAAAATAATATACATAACAAATATTAAAACTTTAAAAGTGTTAAAAACATTAAGCTATCTTTGCCCTAAACCGATATTATAAGTTGTTTAATGCCCAAATGTGACGTCACGCACTAAAAGATGTTGGCTTCAAAATTTTGTGAATATTAACTTGCGATAAGGCGTGTCTATCAGTTTATATGGTTAAAGGTTGATATCATTGTACCTTCTCTAGCAGCCAATGCTAAAACTTTTTTTTTAATTCTGATTCATTCCCAACAAGGCAGGTAATCCCTTTAAAAATGGGAGTTACTCTAAAACAAAGAATAGTGTTAAAGAGAAAAAATTGTTAAAAGAAGACTTTAAAAGTTGTAGGTTGTATGATTCAGGAAAACATAAAGATTAGAGGAAATGGGAAACTTTGCTGAATGACAGGTCAAGCAAGAATGAATTTTGTTTGATGGTGCTAGAGATGATAACTCCTTTCAGTAGCAACCATGATAGTATTTGTATTTTAATGGGAGAGAGGCTCAACTTGAAATATAAAACAGGTCTAACTATGTTTACAATGCATTTTTGGACCTTGTCTAGAAGTAAAAACCATCATTAGAAAAACCATCATTAGAAAAACCAGTCCAAATATAATAACAGTATTTTTTACAGGGAATAAGAGATTTGTAGAGGTAAAGAATAGAATCAGGAGTAAGATAATGATGACCACGATGAAGAGAAGCAACCTTAGCTGATTGTATATATGATTTTTATGAGAGGTCAGCAGTGAATGATAATCTATGAAGACTCAGTGAGAAGGTTGTCATTCGTTAATATAGGAATGTCGAAAGTATTGCTATAGTTGTTTGCAGTAAATAACTGAGTTTTGTTGGAGTTAAAATTTACAAGCCATTGTGAGCCCCAATCTGTTACGGAAGTTAGATCAGATTCAAAATAGGCTGCCTGTTCTAAGCAATCTAAAAGAGAAGACTTCTTGTCAAGACAAGAGTATAAAGTTAATTCATCAATAAATGCAAGACTGTCAGGATTATTATTAATATAGATAAGAAATAAAGCACAACCAAGAATAGAACTTTGGTGTACCCCAGAAGTCACTGGAAATGAAGAAGAGTGTTGGCCTTTGAGGATGACTTTGATAAAGTTTTTTTTTTAAATTTAATTTACCTCCTCAAGGCCAAGGCCACTACAGTCAAGGAGGCTACTTATTTGTGGTTATAACCCTCTCTCTACTCTATAACTCCGAAACACAAACCTTGACGAACAAGGCTGCTGCGCAGAGAAACGAGTTGAGTAAGTGATTAGAAAGAAATGATTTGATAATCTCAAAAACTTTCCCAGATACCATGTTTTCCAAGATATGAAGCAACCTTATAGAGAAGACCAGCCAAACTTTATTAAAAGCTTTACATATGTCAAGGGCATAAGCCCTTGCCTCTCCTCCTTTATCCAGTAGTTAGCCAGTAAATCGTGGAGCGAGAACAACAGCCCTCACTGCCTCCATCTAATGAACAATAAAATCTGTCACAGCAGTCAGAGCAAGAAGATTGAAAACCGTAATGATTGTCTGACAGTTGTATGACTCAAGATTTGAGAAATTTGTTGATCTCAGACCTTGCTAATAACCGAAAGAAGACTAATCGAAAAATAGTTAACTCTTCTAACATGATAATGCACCTTGCCATAGGCTAAGCTAGTTTGCAATTTCTTATGCAATAAAGGTGATGAGCAATCGGAATGGCCACCCCAGAGACCAGGTATAAATCCCATTGAACATGTATGGGAAATCCTGTTTAGGGCAAGCAGGAGTAAAAAGCCACACAATCAGGATAAATTTTAGAACTTGCTGCAAAAATGCTTGGAAAAACATCACTCCACAGCACCATCAAGATCTTATTGAGTCTGTGCCTCAATGAATTGAACATGTAAAAATGTAAACACTGTATAAATATAGAAATATTATTTGGTGTTTCTGTTTTATCTAGCAAAAAATTCCATTAAAAATTTTCTAGATAAATGACTTTTTTCCGCCACTGCATTTCTACTATAGTATATTTTTTGTAACAAATTGTTACCATATTTTGTTATATTAATTAAATAATTATTTTCAGAAAAAGAAGAAAAAAACGAAGATCGATAAAAGAAAAGATTGCTTCCTCATGCCAAACCCTCAGTCGATGTAGCAGCACTCCGCTGTGATTGAGCCTATTTGTCAGTCAATGTATGTACTGAATCCCCTGGCAGCAGGCTATTTCAGTATGATGTCAGATTGCTCATCTAAACCAGCAGTATTAGATATATATAAAATAATAAATTGATTTTTTTTATTACTTTACACTAAAAATGTGACAAAACATGGCAACCCCTAAATATTATCTGTTTTATTTTAAATTTTACCCAATAATTACTATTGTCATATAGGGTATGGTTGTCCTCAAGTTTGTCCTTGTAGGGTAGCAACAAGGGCAAACTTGAGGACAACCAAAGTTTTAACCCTAAAAATTTTGGATCACTCTATATATATACATATATATATATATATATATATATATATATATATATATATATATATATATATATATATATATATATATATATATATATATATATATATATATATATATATATATATATATATATATATATATATATATATATATATATATATATATTATTGTTTAAGTGTGCAGCAGCTAGGAGCCAAGAAACATGTTCCTGTGCTATTTCGATCTCTGGAGCAAATACACAAATACGGAAAAATAAATGATGACAGGACTTGCTTTGTGTAAGAAATTATTTTTTCATAACTAAAATTATTTTTATTAATTGTAAAATAAGCTTCAAACTAATTTAAAATTTTTTTTTATATTTTAAATTTTTTTTTAAACTTTCTTATATTTTTATTTTTAATTTTTTTCTTATACATTTATATATTTTTTTTTATTTAAAAAAATCAAGTTTGTATTAATCCAAGTTCAATATTATAGTGAAGGTCAGGAAGTTGCATTGTTTTACTTTCGTGCTACGTATACACCAAATGACTACACAAGTCCAGAAGTATATTTTTTTGTTATGATATTGTGTTACATTGTGAATAGTTATATTGTAACTATTCACAATTATAACTTACATGTGGTTTGCTACAATTTAATTTAAATTTTAGCTTTAGTTGGTTCATGACTAATGTTTAGCCATTAATTTATTGTCAGTATTGTATTGTAACTAGATTACCATTCTTATTAGATTACTCTTTTCTTCTATATTGACACTGATGTCATTTGATGCCATTTACCTGATGATCTCATTTGGTTCATGATTATACTTAATATTAAGGAATTTTTAGAAAATTTCAATTTTTAATCATTTGAATTCACTCAGCAAAATTTTATTCAAACAACTTTTAGATGACCATCAAAAGCCCTAATATAACAACATAGTTTCAACATTGTATATGCAATTAGTTCTCTTCTAAATTTTTTTTTCTGTTAACTAAAATTATTTTAATAAAGTCTGTTTTTATGGAAAAATAAACTTATGTATAAAATTTGCATTACTTATAAACCATTATAAGATGTCACACAGTTACTAAATTATTTTCTATGAAATTGAAAAGAAAAGTTTTAAGCATTTCATAAGTATTTTTAAAATTTTCAATAAATGTAAGTTTCAAACAAAAATAAATTTACAGTTTTCAAACAAAAGTTAATTGTGTAATAAATTCACGCAAAATGTTTAAACAAGTTTTTTATATCAAAAAGTATCAAAAGTTTTGTTAAAGGTTTTCACAAATTTGAACAAAAATTGTCATTTATTTTTTGAACTTTTTATAAAGTGTTTTGATTATTATTTTACTATTAAACTAGAAAAAAAAAATTAAACTAATACGCTTACTATATCATTGTATCATTACTATCATTGTAAACAAAATTACTTTATAGTATTTTTGTTTACAACAATATAAATTAAGCACTGTGATTTTTTTTTACCTTGCGAGTGATTACTGCTAATAAAAAATAGTTTCTTAGTCATGTGACAATTGTCTTAGTCATGTGACAGTCTGACTCCCTGCTGTTTACTACAATCATTTTAATTTTTTTTTTAACTAGGTTGTTCTTTTGTATTTTTCTAAAGAGACCTGATGATCTTGTGACAGAGCACCGTGGAATACCATTTAATGACAGGGTTCATTGAACTCAGGGAAAACCTGGAAAACCAGGGAAATGTTTTGAAAGTTTAGAAAATCAGTGAAAACCTAGAAAAATCAGGAAATTTTTTTAAAAATTTCTAAAATCTGGGAAACTCTGAAAATATTTTTAAAATTCTAGCTGATTATTAGCTTTGTATTTTGAAGTTATTTTGAAACATTCAAATTTTGGTTCTCTATAACTATTGAAAGTCAGCATAATAAGATTTGTAACTCAACTTTGACTTTGATGCCAGTGAATTGGGACTTGACTTGTCAATTCAATGAATTGTGATTTGAGTTGACAATGATTTATGACTTGAATTGTCAATCCAATTGTGGCTTGAATTGTCAATCAATTAATTGTGACTTAAAGTTCAAGTCAAGGTTTTGAAAAATTTTGAAAAAAAAAATTTAGTAAAATTAATTAAATATTTGCCGCAATATAAAGCTAAGTTTTTACATCCATTCAGCATATTACATTTTGGAAATTGCGGGATATTAAAGCAAAAAGTTTAGGAGTAAAAAGATGTAAAAGCATTAATAAATTTTTTTTTTTTAACTGCACAGCCTTGTTTTTATCTTTTTTTAAATGTTTTGTTGTGTCCTCATTGGGCTTTAATGTTTGAAAGCCTTTTAAGTTTGCTGAGAGAATAATATCTCTTATATTGTATAAAAAATATTCATTGTTTGTTGTATTGACTCTAGCAATATCTTTGCTTGCTAAAAACTCGGTCATGAATCCATTTTTTAACCTTTATGTTAAATAACTTTGTTAGAATTTTGTTATTTATTAGAATTAGAATTTTGTGTTATTTTATATCTAAAAAAGTAAACTTATAGAAGCATAATTCGAGTTTTTTTTTCTGCATTAGAATAAATTATTATTTATCCTCATTTGTTTATATTTATAAAATGAAAATAACTTTTTTATATATGGAGACAAATTTCAATTTAAAATTTTAAATATATTTCACTCCTCAAAAATTACAAATATTATCTTCTATTTCCCTATTTATTCTTCAATTTCAGTGGGGTTTTTGTCCTTCAACTTCAGTGAGGGTTTTCTCTTTCAACTTCAGTGGGGGGTATTTTAATTATTCAATATAAATAAAATTTTGCTGAGATCATTTTTTTTTTGTAGATAAAAATGGGACTCACTAAATTTTATTATATTTTCGTTAGTTTATTATCAATAATATCTGTGTTTTGTATTAATCTAAACAATCTTTTTTCTTAAAGTGTTGGGAAGCTCGTCTAATGATTGAGAGATCAACAGCAGCTAAATGTCCATCAATGGCTGAAAATCTTATTGGAACAAAAAAAGTGCAACAAGTTTTTGCCGAACCCGGTATAGTTGAAAGATTTGTCAACAATCCTGAAGTAGTTAAGAAAATCAGAAAAACCTTTGCTGGTTTATATTCTCTAGATGAGGTTTTTTTTTTCTTTTTATAATGTTCCAATGAATTTTGAAATGTTTATTGCAATATTTAGTTATGTTTGGTGCAATATTAATTCAATTTAAATAAGTTCAATTGTAATTTTTTTTTTTCTTCATGCGGATAGTTTAATTACAATTTATGCTGACAAAAAAGAGAGTATGTTATATATATTTTTGACCTGGATTTTATTTAATACCATTGCTTTCCAAAATGCAGAGAATTTATGCAAAAGTTAAATCTTTAATTAAGTTCTAGGGTTTGGGTACAAATTTAGGCGCCCAATCCGGTATCAATGTCAAAATTGGCCTGAATATGTTAATGACATGATAAAGTTCTAAATCATGAGAACATGATGAATTGTGAAAAAATGTTGTAAATGAGGCAACAGGTTTCAACAACTGCAGTCATTTGATTTTGGGGATGGTAACAACAGTATCTATAGAAATATGATTTTTTCAAAATTGACTATTAAAGGTTAGATGGAAGGTACCTTTATAGAACAATAAAATAACTGCTGGGTTTAACACTTACTCTTGCACATAATAATTTCTTCAATCAAACTAATAGATTGTGCTGGTCAACAACTAAACTGATAGATTGTGCTGGTCAACAAAAGACTAATAGATTTGTGCTGGTCGACAATCAGAGTAATACAGGGTTTAAATTTTTTCAGATATTTCCGGAATATTTCTGGATATTTTTCTTAACTTTTAGTTTTTTTGGATATCCAAAACGTTTTCCATATATACAAGTTTAGGTATACATTTTTGCAGTATATTTGTTTTTTAAGCTTTCTCACTCATCGCTAATACAAAATTAGGATAAGTTTAAAAAAAACTTGAAAGCAACTCAGCTAAATGCAAAATTAAGAGGAAAATAAGGGAAATATATTCCGGGTTTTTTTCCGGAGATTGTACCCGTTACAGTTTTCCGGATATTTAAGATATAACATGGATGATCTATGGGAGCAGATTGTGTTGGTCAACTACTGACTATTATATTGTGCTGGCTAACAACCAGACTAATAAATTGTGCTGTTTAACAACCAGACTATTAGATTAAGTTGGTTAACAACCAAACTGATAAATTGTGCTGATCAACAGCCAGACTAATAGATTGAGTTGGTCAACAACCAGACTAATAGATTGTGCTGGTCAACAAACAGATTAGCAGGTTGAGTTAGTCAACAGCAGACTAATAGTTTGTGCTGGTCGACAAAAAAATGTTTGTTTTTAAGTTGCAACTTTTGTGTGTAATAAATGTTTATCTGCCTATCTACAGTATTGTTTTAAAACATTACTGTGTAACAGCTAACATAAAACACATGATGTATAAAAGATTTTATTCAATTAATATTCGTAATACATTTTGATTGTTATGTTTAATTTTTTGAACGATAATTATTTATATATATTAGCTATATATTTTATTAAAATTTTTAATTTGTCAGACTTCTGAAGGCGATGCTGCAGCAGAAATGGCTCTTGGTAACCCATCACACTATGTTTTAAAACCTCAAAGAGAAGGAGGAGGTATATGTTTTGTTGATCAAATGCGATGACTTTTTTTGTATCAAATTCCCCATCAGAATTATAGTCTATTGTAACTAACATAGTAGTTTAAATTTTTAAGGGAACAATATGTATGATTCCGATATGGTTGATGAGTTAAAAAGAGTAACAGCTACTGAAAGAAGTCAATATATTCTTATGGAGCGTATTCAACCTCCTTCAGTAAAAAATTATATGGTACACGTAAACTTTGATCGGGCGCAGTTAACAGACACAGTAACTGAACTTGGCATTTTTGGAGTGCTTATTGCGTAAAACTTTTAATATTTTAAAAAGATTTATTTAGAAAACATTTTTAAAATCATATTTTTATATGTTATAAATCATATTTTTATATGTTATAATGTACTTTTAGTACTTTATACATTAAATTTTTGAATGATAAATTTAAAAAAGAAATTGTTTTACAGAAAGTTTGCATTTTCAGAGTTGACGGCGTGATTGTGCATAATGAACCAGCTGGCCACTTAATGCGAACAAAAAGCAAAGATCAAAAAGACGGAGGAGTTGCTGCCGGAGTCGCTGTTCTCGACACACCATATTTAATATAAATTTTATCTTATTTCAAAAAAATATTTATTTTGTAGAATTAAAACTCTAAAATTATTTATGCATATTTCATTATATACAAAAGTATATTTTAATCTAATATAATCTTACTTTTTCATTTTTTTCTTTTTATATTTCTTTTATTGTTTATTTTTGTTGTTACTATCTTTTTTTTGTTCGTGATTTTTATTTGTTCTTTCTACATTTTTGTATTTTAAGCCTTTTTTGCTTGTTATTTTTAAACATTTTTTATAGGTAGGTTTATATTGTAAATTGTTGTCTGAAATTTATAATTGTTATTATTCTCTATTAGTTGTTTCTTAAATTTTTTTTATATGTATGCTTTTTTATGATCTTTGTTTTTTTACTTACTGTTAAATGGTCACACGGTTATTGTTTTTAACAAGAAATCTATTAGAATCTTAACGTTGAGAAGCATCGTTAGATTCTATTAGATTTGGGGGTGAGGTGAGAGGCTTTAAAATTCTTGCAGTACTTAAGTTACGCCTAGAATGTAACTTAAGCGAGAATGTAATGTAACTTAAATGCAGTACTTAAGTTACACCTAGAGAAGGGGAAAAGTCCAAAATTACTTAATGTTTTCTTTTCCTCTCGAATTAACCATAATTATGGATGATAATTAAATTGAGTTTTTAAAAGTTTAAATTTTAATGTTCACCTTAATATCCTTCTTTTAGTTATAAATAATACTTTATCATAAGTTATAAATAATAGTTGTGCTGAATCTTCATGCTAGTACATGTTAAATTGCATGCTGAGTTGATGCTGAATTTTTATACTGTTTAAAAGGTAAGAAAAGTTTGTAAGTAAAAATATACTTGGCGCTTAAAACACGCGTAACTTTGCAGCAAAATATTTTAACTCTTTTATTTTTTAGATTTCAGAGTGAAATTTTTGTCAACGAGTTTTGACATTGACGGTTTTTTTTGTTTTTTTTGCAGATGTAAGCACCCTGAACACCCTAGTTTAAAAAAGCGTATGGGGCGTTTGTGATTTAAATTATAATTTTTTGCTGTTTTCAGAAACAGTCTTTTCCAGAATTAAAGCATAATGGATTAAAATGATTGTTACCTGGCATGCCTTTAAACAAAAAAAACGTGTTTTCATCAGCATTAATATAAAAACCAAAGAAAAAAAAAAAAAATTACAATAAAAATTTGATTCAACTTTCATTATGCTCAAACTCTTTTTAACACATTCCAAACTATTTTTTAGAGAGTGGATCTGAACTACAAATAATCTTCGCGTGATATCATCCTTAGTGACTTTCCTTAAAAGTTTTTTTGTGTATTGTCCTCTTTAATTTTTAATGTCTATCCGTAATTTTTTTATAACATTCCTGTCCACCCTCAGAAAAAAAATCCTTAGATACCGGCTCATCTTTTACAATTTGAGAACTATAGATTAACATTTTATGAACACTTTTAGGCATTGGTTACCATGTATAAAAAAAACTATACAATTCTGCTGTTTTTTAACGTATATTTTAAGTTCATCAGTGACAATTGTGACAGTTGCATGATAAATGCACAAACACAGATTACACAGGTCATCAAAAAAAAAATTTTTGTTGACCTGTGTGACCTTTGCCGAGCAAACAACTTGTTTTTTGTGTAGCATTTAACATTTTGATTTTAAGTATGCTTTAATTTTTAATTTTTTTATTAATTTTTATTTTTTTTAATTTCAAATTCTGGTTTTTTACTATCATGTCAAGGTTTAAAGATATTTGGGTTCAAATGTGGTATTTAGAGTAAAATCCCTAATATTGTAAAAAAAATATTCAAAAGTATCTCAACATGGGTCGCAAAAGAAGTGTGTTTTATAGAGATTTTAAAAATAATGTTCGTTTGTAATAAAAATAAATACTTTTCGTATTATTGCTGAGAAAGATTGTTTAAATTTTTTAATAGTCTTGATATTTTTAACAATTTTTTTTTTGTTAATAAACTTAAGGAAAAATATTTTTCTAAAATCTCTATGAAAATACTCTTCTTTTGAGACCCAGGTTGACATACTTTTGAATAATTTTTTTATACAATATTAGGGATTTTACCCAAACCCTAAAGATTTGAACCCAAATATCTTTTCAACTTGACGTGATAGTGAAAAATAAGTTACACGTTTGAAATCAAAATGAGAAATAATACACAAAAAACAAATTGTTTGCTCGGCACCAGAAAAAATTTTCTTTTTGTTGACCTATATATATATATATATATATATATATATATATATATATATATATATATATATATATATATATATATATATATATATATATATATATATATATATATATATATATATATATATATATATATATATATATATATATATATATATATATATATATATATATATATATATATATATATATATATATATATATATATATATATATATATATATATATATATATATATATATATATATATATATATATATATATTAACGATGTTTCGATAACGATTCGATAACGATATATAAACTTCAACGATATTTTCCTTTTTATTATATTAACGCAATTCTAAAAATCAAAGTCAGAGAGTTTGCAGAAAAAAAAAAATATCAAAGCGTTAAATGGTTGGCTTGATTTTCGAAAAAACACTGCAGAAACTCTTTGCGACTGAAATGACCGCGCCATGGAAGAAAACAATACTCCCAAGAATTTTATCTGGTGATAATTGTCAGTAGGTGAAAATTATATTGGGGATAAATTTTTTTTTTTTTGCATGCAAGTTACTTCAATCATAGGCAAGCATAAGAAGCAAACACTTTACTATTCGTCATACGGAAATGGCAGCAAAAAATGCAGCGAGTGATAAAATTCTTATGTTTGTTGTAGGTAAATTCACCTCGCTGCTTCAAAGATGTCAAACACTTACCTTGAAAATACAGAAATCAAAATAAAAGCAGAATGTATTGGGGTACTGTTTGAAGAGTAGATACATGAAGTGAATACAAAGTTTACAAAAGATATAGATAAAGTTCATCATAGATAACGCTACTTTCTTCTACCATATTTAATATTCGATATTTTAAAACCTATAGAGCTCATTTTTTTTACCACTGGATCTAAACTCTAATTTAGAAGTCAGGGAGTTGTATGCTCAGTGAAATATTATTAAAGACATGTAGAATTGCAAAATGCTGGACGTATAATCAGTAAAGGCTCAACGCACTTCCAATTTTAATCAATAGTAAAACTTTAAAGCTGAGAAAGAGGTTTTAAGAATATTTTGGAGTTTATGATATTTTATGTTTCCTTTTTTTTTATTCTTCAGATCAAATAACTTGAATTATGTTTACTTATTCGTGTTTTCGAATGTCTCGATAACTAGAATACTCGCTAACTTAATGTCTCGATACCTAGAATACTCGCTAACTAAAACTATTTTCTCAGTTTACTTAAACTGCCGACGGACGGAAAAATTGATTTTTTTTTTAATTTTATAGATTTAAATATTATATTTATCCTTTTTATTGATTTAAGCTTATTCATTATCTTAAAATTTATGAGCTAAACTTTTTATCCCATTTATTTGCACAAAGTAAATTTGATTATTATAAATTAAATTTGTAAATTAAACTTCTTTCAATATAATTCAAATTTTTTTTAGTCTTTAAGTCACTGTTGTATTAATATATTTTGATATTTGAAGGGTAAATACATAGCATAGTTTACTTAGCATAGCTTGCATAGTTCTTTTTCATAAATTTCTTTTTTCATAATTTTTTTTTTTAGCTTTTGTCAATGCTCTATTGAGTTTCTCGGACTTCAAACTTGCTTTCCAACAAATATTTAATCTCTGCCTCAGAGAGCTTTGTAAACATGAGATAAATTTCATATTAAGCTTCTCTAAAATTTAAAACAACGAAAAACTTCTTTTTCAATCCTAGTTCAAATTCTTAATGTCGTTTCTGGTAAACGAAAGTCCTGCAGTCTTTGCATTGCCAATTCTATTCCATTAGACTTGATGAATTCTATTCCATTAGACTTGATGAAAAAACCTGACTAAGTAAGATCTTAATCTCTGATTAAATCATCTCGATTACTCTGATTTGGAAGGTGAGGTTGAATAGTTGATACGTCTTCCATCATCATCATTAACTGTCTTTTAACTTATTACTTTCCTCATCCAAGCCTAGACTGTGAGGGAATCACACTAACAACTTGCCATGAAATATTTTGTGAGACACTGAGAATGTATGGTGCTTAATAAAATTATTGTTTATTAAAAAAAATTAATTAATAAACAGTAAAAAAGTTACAGTAGGAAAAGATTTTTAAAAAATTTGAAGTATTGTATAATTTTTAAACCTTCTGCCTGTTTATTACTTAATTGCTTGTACTTGAATTTTATTCGAGATTTATTTGTAATTTATCTTATATATAAACATGGAATTTAAAAAAATTCTAAGAATTGTTAATTTTTTTTTTAGTTTCAGGGTAAAGTGCTTATCAGTTTCAGCGTGAGATGTTTTTTAGTTTAGAGTAAACTCCCTAGTCTTAATGCTACTTTCTTATACCGTATAAATGTTTATTTCTAACTTGTTTTTTGTAAATGCAATGCTTTTTAGTGAAGCTGCACCGAGCAGTGAACGCCTTAGACATACATAATAAGTTAAAAAGAGTTTAGCAGAGTGAGATAAAAGTACAAAAGGACAGATGTCCAGTGGAAAACTAAGAGCTTCTAAGTAGAAAAATACTAAAAATTGATTTAAGTAAAATGTAGTAAAAATAAGCAAGAATAATAAACAATAATCAAGGAAAGTTAGAGTCATTAATTGTTGTGCTACTAAATTGTTGTTAGTGTTGAGCGTAAATGTGATGTATAGAAATATCAGTGATGGAGCAGAACTATTCGTTTTATAAGTAGTTATCATGTGATCTGTATTATTAGGGGGATAAATATACATTATAGTTATATGTGTGTCATGGACGTCTCAAGTATGGTATGAATTCACGCCTTATGGAACAGTATAAACACAAGAAGACCTCCAGCTTTAATCTTAGAATGGCGTCCCATAAGAAGTTCTCCCTCTGAGTTTACTCCAGGGTATCTTTTTGTTGAGTTATCACATTATGTTATCCCAAAAAGACTGTTCTCAGAGTATCCCATCAGGACAATTGCCACAGACTTCTGCATTAACACTGAGAACAGAGGACACTTAGTGGTGTTCAGTACAACTTCCGTACAATTTTATGTAGTTTTTTTTTTTACATGAGTGTTGATAAGTGCAGTGGTTTCTTGCAGTACATCAAGGGTCAGTGAGAGTTGTGAACTGTTTTGAGTTTTTATAGCTGTGCCTGTAATTTAAATAGTCAATTTAGTGTAAGTGTGTGTGTGTCTACTGTAGTAGCATGTCTTATTAGTATGAGTTATTAGTGCAAAAATTGGTTAAAAGTCATTAAAACTGGTAATAACTTAAGCTAGAAGTAAATACTAGTAGTTAAATAACATGTATCTTTAAATAACAAACTATTGCAACTAGATAATCTAGAAAATTTAAATAGAGTTACACCATTATAGCAACAACAACTTGTATATATATTTTACAAGTAATACTCTGTATATATATATATATATATATATATATATATATATATATATATATATATATATATATATATATATATATATATATATATACATATACATATGTATATATATATATATATATATATATATATATATATATATATATATACATATACATATACATATACATATATATATATATATATATATATATATATATATATATATATATATATATATATA